TAGCATAATTATATAAATAAACACCAATGAAAATGTATGAGAAGCCAGTTTAAAAAGTCATGACTTTGTAAATACTGCCCCTCATTAATTATTATCTTGATAAAAAAAGAGGTTTTATTTTTCTTATACATGACATTTAAAGGATAGATATGTTTAGCTTTTACTTTTAAATAAAATAGCTAAGAAAATGGTCATGTTCTGTTTTCTGAATATTGCTTACATTTATTACAAAATACTCAACTTATAATGCATGACACTTCTTTTGTATGAAAAAAAAAAAGATTAAATAGAAAGGTAGCAAGGTAGTTCATTTTTAGTTGCTTTATTTGACAGTCACTCACTCTCACTAAAAAGGAAATACTGATGAAAATTTATGGAAAACCCTAAAGGAATTGAACTTAGAGAACTCAATTCAGTAGATTTAGTAAAAGCAAATTGTTAATTTACCAAAGGAGTTATCTAAATTCAATACTCTGCCATCAAACAGAGGATAAAACAAAGACAAAAACAATTTAAACAGGTTTCGGGGAAATCCTCAGTACCCCTATGTATTCAGACTTTGGAGAGGCTTTTTATGAAGTAAAAATTGCCATTTTATCTCTGAAAGTGTGCACTTTAAAATAATATAAATAAATATTATAAAAATAATAAAAATAATATAAAATAATCTCATTATAAACTATTATGGGTCAATTGCAAAGTGACTATATATGACAAGCCATTTTCTTTTTAAGCAAGTATACAATCTCCCAAATTACTAGAGCTGATTTAGACTAACAGTAAAATTTTAAAATAAAACATTGTCGGGCTGTAAAAAAAAATAGGATCATGAATATTTTTCACTGGACTCAATAAAGAAATATTTATATCTTAGCTAATCTTAGGTCTTCATATCATATATAGTAGTATTTTAATCACATTGTTCATCAATTTAACAACCTATGTAGACTTCATTATCATTGCATTTATCAAGATGGAGATTGATTTTAGAAAGGTTTTATTCATCCTATTACTCTTTGCTTTCCTCTCGTACCAACAGTCTCCTCCTCCCGCTACACACACATTTGCAAATTATAATTTCTCCATTAAAAATAAAAGATGCCAGAGGAATAGAGAAAGAAACAGCAAGCACTTTGCTTAATACTCAACTATTTAACACAAAGACAAAATCTGGTTTCAGTTTTCTTGGACTAGAAAGCAATTCATTGAACAATCTCAATCAGTTATGAAGGAGTTTAATGAAATTATGACCAAGTACTTAAACATAAATGGTAGGATTTAGATATATACACTCTAATCAAAGTGAATAAAATAATTGAAAGCTATTGTATTTTATAGGTTTTTTAATTCTGTTATTAGCCTGAGAACCACAAAAATCCACCTGAATTCTTGTTACAGAGTCAGTAATCATAACAAGCACATATAGGACAATCAACCTGACCAGCTCTACTGGAGCGGCTAAAATTTTATCACCAGTTCTGCATGACACCAGCATTATTTATGTACTTAACTTTTATTCTTTAAAGGATTTAAAAATTATCTACACTTCAAATTCAGACTCATCCAAAGTAATAATATTCATGCAACCAAAACTGTGATATTATAATTACATTTTTTCTAATGTGATACACTACTAATGTCCTCCACTTTTCAAAAGTTCACTTCTTTCCACTTTACTTTCATGAAAGACCTGTACTTGTACCTGTTTTGACTAAATGAAGGAAATCCAAAAAGGATTTTCACTTGTGCAAAAAAAAGGTGAGATGTGAAAACATCATTCTGTGTTTGTTTTCGAGTGAGCTGTTATAGAGGCAGTGCTCAGTCAGAGCAGAGATAGTAGGACCACCAAGCTCCTTTTCCAGACCCACCAGCATCTCAGCGTCTGGTCACCATACTCTGACCTGTGTCTCTGGGCATCTGTGCTTTATCTGATTTATTTTGTGCATCTGTTAGCAAGATGTGTCCAGAGGTAATTGGTTCTTCCTTTTATATGCCATTTGGACTTGCAAAAGTTTTCATAGAAACACTCTACTTTCAGATAGCATGGGAAACCTGTATTGCATTAAAATAACAACCCCTAAAATGATCTCACATACCACCCATGTTACAAGGAAACACAGTGAAAATAATTAAACCACATAATTTTCAATCTAATTTCTTTTTCATAGAAAAAAATACTGATAACATACACTAGCAACAAACTTAAAAACACAAATTAATGTCCAACTTAATGTCACACTGACTACCTATGTACTATAGTATGTAATGTAAAATTTAAAACAGTTGAACAGAGTCAGCTGAGTTGCTATATTGAACCTGAAATGCTCATTGCCTCAGTCTCATACTGGTAATTAATGACTTTGGGGGAATTGTAATTTATACCAAATGGAAGTGTGTATACAAAGTATGTATATATACAAAGGACAGGCTGATTGAAGATTTCACTTATCTCCTATCTTACTGAGTATAGCCTCTGTGGTTTCCAAGGTTGATAAAAATTAAAGGTGACCTTTTACTCCCTGAGAGAGTGGTTTCAATGAATGAGGGAAAAGAAAAGAGCAAAACTGTGGTTCAATATGACAACTCTACTACTTGTGTTCTAGAGAAATATCATTTTATTCTGAGTTCTTGATCTTAATTTTATCCTTCCTGTCTACTAAATTAATGCATTCCATTTCTTCTACCAGAAAGTTTCAAATCATCTGTCTATGCATCTAAAGAGTTTTGAGAAAGGTAGAGCTCATTATTGTTCCTAAAGGCAAACAGATTATCCTCAGAACTCAGGGAGCTAAGAGAACAAATGAGTTTCATAATGATTTAATTATATTAAAATATCACTATTTCCATGACTATTATCCAGTCTTTGCCTATTAATATAAAACTGTAATGCTCCTAGATATTCATTTTATTTTTCCATGAGAACTGGGAATGAGCTCTTCCTAGCACTTAACTTCTTTTTGAAAGTGAAACATTCTCTTAATAAAATTCATGACATTGTAATAACAAGTGATAGAAAAGAAATCATGGATTCTAACCACTTTGTCCTCCTTTGGGAAAGCATCCAAGGAAGCAGAGTGAAGGGAGAGAGAAAAGAAGAGAAAAATAAAAATAAGGCACATATTAATAATCAGATTTTAAGAAAACAATCATATGCAACTTTAAAGTATAAAAATAAAGGTACTTTGAAAAGTAAATGTTTATTCTTACCCAAAAATAGTCACTATTCAAACTTTCATTCCAAATGCACATATAACCATCTTGCTATATTGTAGGTACAAAAATTGGACACTACAATTTCAGAAATTTTTAGAACTTGGATTATTAAATCTATATTTAAAACATTCTTTAGAAAGATAAAAAATGCTACCATATTTGGTTTACCTATTATTGAAAGGATTATACTAAAATGCATAAAATTTAAGTGAATAATTATATCAAATTGTCCTTAAAATATTTATAGTTATGAATTGGAAAAATGTAAGAAAGGGAAGTGTCTGTAATAAAAAGAGAAAGGAACTATACTATTTTAGCCATAAATTATCCCACAAGGTTGATTTATTTGTAATATGCATTTCAACATTTACAATGTCACAGGAAAAACCAACTTTATACAATTTTTGTCTTTTGCCCAAGATTAAAAATTGTAAGTTGTGCTTTCTTTTATTTATTTTTTTAGTTTTAATTTTTCCCAAGATTGAATGGGTATAGTAAGGATAGATGAACTTCATTAGGCCTGGGTGTCTGTTTGAAAGCATAAGTACCTCTTAGTTCAATCTCCTTTAAACACATCTCCTGTTTAAAACATGAGTTTGACTCTATGTTACTGGCTTACTTCAAACCTATAATGTGAATTTAAAAGCATCCCACACTATGCACACGCAGCCAGAATTAACACTCAACACCTTTGCACTGTACTGCTTAGGGCCAACACTTTTCAGAGTGCTGAATGAGTTGTTAAGTATTTTGAATATCATCATAGGTTTTATTTGTGAGATTTTATTCCAAAATAGTGTTTTCAAGAACTAAAGAAGGGAAATTAAACAAATAGACCCTGTGCACTTTTTATGTGCCAAACAAGATCTCAATCCACGGTTGCTCTAGAAAGTCTGTAAGGTAGCACATGAAGATTAACTAAAACACGTAAGTTTTAGAAGGAGAAAAAATTATTATGTGGTCAAAAAATGGAACCTAAAGAAAAATTAAATGTGCATAGGTTAGAACTGTTTTAATTCTCATAACAACCATATATAGTAATTATTATCATAAAATTTCATACATAAAGAAGCTGTTTTTCAGAGAGGTTAAAGATACATCTTTAAGGCTCATCTTAAGTATAATAATGCATCTATTTTACTGAATGTCTTAATTCCCCTGAGAGAGATTTTAGAATAATACCCTACTTATAGCTCAAATACACTACTAAAAAACAATGTTGAGTGGTAACTTCACTTTAATTCTAACTGTGATTTTTCCAAATTAGGGAGACAAAAGTGCAAGACTCCATAAAAAAAAAAAAACAATATTTTGACACACTCTTTAAATATCCAAATAATTTTCTTGAGATAAACTTAGTACTAAATTTCTTAGACATGATAGTAAATGAAGGGATTCTCACAGAGGCTAATTATCACTTCATAAATGATTATATTGGATTAAATTAATGCCACACAAACTCTACAGATGTTATCTTCATTCAATCTGAAACATGTTGCAGAAACTAAAGGTAGGTTGTTGGGTTTTATTGCTTTGTACAAGAAGAACTGACCACAACAACTTCCAAGAATTTCTTAATTCCTGACACTAAATACAAATCTCCGATCTTCTTCAGAAAACAAATGTGCTCCCACAAGTAACCTGTTGGTTCTGAGTGGCAATTGTTTGTGAGGTGCATACATGCAAACAGCATCTTTTATGAATTCTTTGCATCACTCGTCCCCTGCGCCGAGCAGGCGCGGGTGGGGCGCATCCGCCTGCGCTCAGGGATGCTGGATGCTCGCGGCCACGGTACTCACGTTGTTGGACCGCAGAGACACGCGGCCCCCGCAGCGCGCGCAGAACTTGGTGCGGCAGTAGGAGCACAGGTGGCCACAGCCGTCCGCGAATTTGGTCTTGTGGCAAATCCCGCAGGTCGGAGCATCGTCCTTGTGCTCTCCCTGATAGCGCCGCGCTTCCTCCCCTATTTTCCTCACTTGTTCTTTATAGCTTTCAAATTGTTGATGCAATCTCCTGGACAGAAGAGAAAATGGCCACACTCAGTAGACGAATGAGCTGGAAAAAAAACCACCACCACTTTTTCCTAACAGAGGAGGCATCTAGTTACTTGAACTAAAGCAAAACATATAAAGCCACTTTCCTCAATAATGGGCTTTCCTTGTGGCGCAGCTGGTAAAGAATCCGCCTGCAATGCGCGAGACCTGGGTTCGATCCCTGGGTTGGGAAGATCCCCTGGAGAAGGGAATGGCTACCCACTCCGGTATTCTGGCCTGGAGAATTCCACGGACTGTATAGTCCATGGGGTCGCAAAGAGTTGGACACAACTGAGTGTCTTTCACTTTTCACTTCCCCTCTAACAATATTATCAGAGGTAAGAAAAGTATTAGCTTGTATTTATTCCGACAAGTGTTGCCTACTATTAATAGCACTGAATCATATATAAGTTGACTCTAAATAATCACTATTTTCCCCAACAGTGGAATTCTTGTATCCACTCATTGTGTCTGCTTTGGCAGGCAGTTTTCAAAGTATTTTACTGGGAACACTTTACAACAGGAAGTATGTGTGTATACAACTGAGGCAAAATTATACAATGTTCTTAGACCAACTCTACAGAATTTGCTTTGGTATTTTGTCTTACTCTGTTTGAAGTCTAATAGTGCTTTGTGTTGTTGTTGTTGGCTAATTGCCAAGTTGTGTCTGACTCTTTTGTAACCCATGGACTGTGGCCCACCAGATCCTCTGTCCTTGAGATTTCCCAGGCAATAATACTGAAGTGGGTTGCCTTTTTCTTCTCTAGGGGCTTTTTACCACCCAGGGATCAAACCCACGTCTCCTGCATTCTTTACCACTGAGTCACCTGGGTATCCCAAATACTGATTACTATTTGTAAGAAGTTTGTCACAGTAAATTGAGTTCATGAAGTGTAATGCATGCTTGGGAGTTGACTATTTTAAACTACATGGCTAGGCAAGCTGTCTTCACTTCCATTCCTAGAGACTTGTTTGGCGTCAAACATTTCACACAGTACACAGAATATAACATTTATCTTCAGATATATATATATATATACACAAATATATTAATATAATATATATGTTTAATATATATAATATTATATATATGTATGCTGCTCTTGCTGCTGCTGCTAACTCACATCAGTCGTGTCCGACTATATATATATATATAATAGTTGAGCTTGCTTAGATCTGCTGCATCAGCTTACAAGTTCTAAACCATACCTTGAAGATATTCAGATTTTTACATGCCCCAGTTTTACTGGCTCTCTCCAATCTTTTATGTACGAGGATCCCTATTCCTCCTGATAAGTACTGAAAGTGGGACAACTAAATTTGTTGAGGCAAAGAATTTCCCCAAGATGAAGAACGTTCACACTTAATGTGATCGAGGCCCCATAGCCTTCCCATCAGTCCAAACTCCTCTCTCTCAGATTGCTACAAACAGAAGCAGAGCATGGTGACATCCTGTAAATCCCTAGAGGAAGGATGCCTTTGTTTAGTGAATGACAGCTGAGAGCATTTCCCAGGCCTAACAGTCATTGTCTCTTACACCAGAAGAGAAACTCATGTGGAATGTCTAAGTAGATACATCTGTGTATCTAAGCTTCTTTCTGGATATGAGTTCTCCATGATCAGAGAAAACACATGCTATTGTTAATTAATGCAGTTTGTGTGATGCTCCACTTCTAAGATAACTGTGGGGGGTCTGGGACTCCCTGGAAATTGAATCAAATAAGTTAAGTCTCAGCATTATATTGGTTGAAATACTCGGATTTTATTATATTTTCCTTTTAACATCAACAACTTTTAAGCAAAACTTTAATGATTAAAATTTCTGAAATCCCTTTCCTGCTTTGCCAATTGACACTTTTTCTACTTATTTTGCATAATTAAAGTAACCATAGTTGCACTAGCACATAAAGTAGTTTAGAATCTGAAACATTCCTAGTTTAGAAGCCAGCAAATTTCAGCTGAGGGAAGGATATTATGATACTTGGTTTAATGAGTATAAGAATATCTGATCAATATATTGAAGAGCAATTTGACCCATTCTACAATGCTAATCAGACAAAGAGTGCATGCATAAATATTTATTGTGAGAACCACCAAATCATAAATATATATAACGCAAAGGAGAAAGCTAGGCTAGAAAAAGCTTCTTTATGAATGTATAATACAGAATAAGATTTAGTTTGGGTGTTGGCACATTTTATGGTCTAAGGGCAGTTTATAAATATTTTAAGATTTTGTAAGCCAGGAAATTTCTGTTGAAAGTACTCAGCTCTACCGTTGTAGCAGGAGAGTGGCACGCATAATATGTAAATAGTAAGCATGGCTGTGTTTCAGTTAAACTTTTTAAAAAAATGGTAACCCAGACTTAGCCAGTGCACCAGGTTGTCAACTTCTGACTTAGTGTCTGATTTGTGCTAAGGCATAACAGTTTGAAAATCAGACTTTCTGACTTTTAAAATTTCAAATACAGACCCAAAGTTGGTTAAGATGCCGGATTAAAAGGATGTGTGCTCATCTCCTCCTGAGAGAGCACCAAAATCGCAACTAGCTTTGAACACCCATCAGTGGGAGAATGCTGCAACCCCCCAAAAATGATACCCCACATCCAAAGACAAAGAAGAAGCTGTGACAAGATGGTAGGAAGGACACAATCATGATAAAACCCAGTCTCATACCTGCCAGGTGGGTGACCCATAAACTGGATAATAGTAATATCAACAGTTCTCTCACTGTTGTGCAGGTTCTAAGCCCTGCATCAGGCTTCCCAGCATGGGGATCCAGCACAGGGACTGGGAATCCCCCAGAAATCTGACTTTGAAAGCCAGAGGATTTCACTTCCATGGGACCGGGGGAAACAGAGACTTCACTCTTGGAGGGCACAAACAAAATATTGCATGGACCAGGACCCAAGGGAAAGGAGCAGTGACCCCACAGGAGACTGAGCCAGATCTTGGCAGTCTTGGATGGCCTCCTGCAGAGATGTGGGCCCACAGGGACTTGCCACAGGGACAGGGCATTGGTAGCAGCAGTGCTGGGGGGAGCCCCTTGGTGGGAGCCCTCTTGGAAGCCAACACTGACCCATCATAGAGCCTGTAGATTCCAGGGCTGGGTGGCCTCAGGCCAAAAACTATCAGGAAGGGGGCACAGCCCCACCCACCAGAAGACTATCAGATTAAAGTTTTACTGATTCCTGCCCACTAGTTTTTCCCACTGCCAGTCCATCCCATCAGGAAGCTTACACGAGCCTCCTAGCCTCATCCACCAGAGGGTAGACAGAAGATACAAGAAGAACTATAATCGCGCAGCTGCCAGAAAGAAAACCACATCACAGAAAGTTAATCAAAAGGAAAAGGCAGAAGATTATGTCCCAGGTGAAGGGACAAGATAAAACCCCAGATAAATAACTAAAGGAAGTGGAGATAGGAAATCTTTCAGAAAAATAATTCAGAATAATGATAATGAAGATGATCCAGATCTCGGAAAATGAATGGAGAAGATGCAAGAAAGTTTTCCAAAGACCTAGAAGAACTAAAGAACAAACAGAGATGAAGAACACACTAGGAGAAATCAATAGCAGGATACCTGGGGCAGAAGAACAGATAAGTGACCTGGAAGGCAGAGTGGTGGAAAATCACTGCTGCAAAACAGAATATATAAGAAAGAATGAAAAAAAAGAAAACACCCTAAGAGACCTCTGGGACAACACCAAATCCACCAACATTCAAATTATAGGGGTCCCAGAAGGAGAAGAGAGAAAGAAAGGACCTGAGAAAATATTTGAAGAGATAATAGCTGAAAACTTCCCTAATGTGGGAAAGGAAATAGTCAACAAATTCCAGGAAGAGCAGAGAGTCCCAGGCTGGATAAACCCAAGGAGGAACACACAAGGGCACACAGTAATCAAACTGACAAAAATTAAAGATAAATATTAAAAACAACAGGGGAAAAATGACAAGTAACATACAAGGGAACTTCCATAAGGTTATCAGTTATTTCCTCAACAGAAACTCTACAAGCCAAAAGGGAATGGCATGATATGCTTAACATGATGAAAGGGAAGAACTTACAACCAAAAATACTCTACCCAGCAAGGCTCTCATTCAGATTTGATGGAGAAATAAAAAACCTTACAGACAGACAAAGGTTAGAATTCAATATCACCAAACCAGCTTTACAACAAATGCTAAAGGAACTTTTCTAGGCAGGAAATACAAGAGAAAGAAAAGACTTACAATTAATAAAAAACAGGTAAGAAAATGGTAGTAGAATCATACATATCAGTAATTACCATAAGTATGAAAAATGAAAGTGAAAGGGTTAGTCACTCAGTTGTGTCCCACTCTTTTTGATCCCATGGACTGTAGCCCAACCAGGCTCCTCTGTCCATAGAATTCTCCAGGCAAGAATACTGGAATGGGTTGCCATTTCCTTCTCCAGGGATCGATCCTGGGTCAGGCAGACTCTTTACCAACTGAGCCACCAGGGAAGCTTATGTATAAATGGATTAAATGCACCAGCCGAAGACTTGGACTGGCTGGGTGGATGAAAGCATATGCGAGTATACACTTCCACTTACACATCACTCTACTTAACCACCCAAATTATATGCAGTTATTTTCTATTGTTAGGTTAATCATGTTTACATTATGGCTTGCAATTGTAAATATCTTTTTGTTGGGGGGGTGGTCTGGCTATTGACTGTGAAAACTGATAAACATATTTTACTATTGTGATTATGTAACTATTACTCATTTTATTAGCATTGTATCATGATTTGTCAACAGAAAATAATAAAATTCAATATAACTAAAACTACCATTTAATAGAAAAATGTAATCACTTTTTAAAACACAGATATACATTAGAAATATCTAGGAATTTTTTGAAAAATATAAATGTCAAGGTTTTGTTTTGTTTTTCTCTAAAGTTCCAGATGTGATTCTAATAAGCAGCCATCTTTAAAAACAACTGAATTATATG